GAGCTGAGATTGTGCCATTGCACTCCAGCCTGCGTGACAGAGTGAGACTCTGTCTCTTAAAAAAAAAAAAAAGAAAAAGAAAAAGAAAAAAAAAAGAAACAGTTCCAACTCTTCCATAAGTTGGGCATTAAAAAACAGTCATGACTTAGTTAAGCATCAAAGGGAACCATGTAAGAAGCTATGGGATTTACATTAATAGTCGTTATTCGTAGATTCCCTATTTGTGAATTCAGCTACTCACTAAAATATGTTTGTAACCCAAGGCCAATACTAGAGGTGCTTTCGCTGTAATTTGCAGACAGGCGTAGAGCAACAAAGATTTTGAGTTGCACGATGCCCCCGTTCCCAGCTGAAGCTGAACAAAGCAGTTCAACATTGTAAACGGGTGTTCTTTTTGTATTTAACGCCTTGCTTTTTGCATTTTTGTGCTTTGTGTTGGTGATTTTGCTGCTGAAAATGGCCACTGAGTATAATGTCAAAGTGCTTTCTTCTGTTCCTGGTGCGAGAAGGCTGTGATGAGCCTTATTGAGAAAACGTGTGTGTTAAGTAAGCCTAATTCAGGCATGGGTTATAGTGCTGTTGACCACAAGTTCATTATCAATTAATCAACAATATCTATTAAATAAGGTGTCTTCACCAGAAACACACATGCAACAAGGTTATGTATTGATTGGTTGATAGAAATGTGACCAGAGGTTCACAGAAACCCAGCCCTGTATTTTTCCTAGGAGCAATTGTTCAATATAGTATTTGAACTTAATACTTAATTGAACATAACTGCCATGAATTATGAGAATCAACTATATTTAATTGGATTTTTAACTGTCTTTTTGTGCTTGTGTTATGGCTTAATTTTTCCTTCCTTGTACATAGCACATTGGATGGCCCCTAAAGACAACTTCCCACCACGGGGCCTCCTCTACCTCTGTGTGACCCTTGTTCAGGTCACTAGCTCTGGAGTCTGTTTCCTTCCTTCCCACTGACCTTTTGAGTCAACCAGTGGTAAAGTCTTGACTGTGGTGGTCTGGAGCAGGGTTCGCAACTCCCCATATGTGTAAGAAGCTGAAACAAACTTCACATCACGCACCATGATGTCCTCAACAAAGATGGTATATTTGCTATGGAGGGAGAAAGCATGGTGGGTTAGCCCCACCATATACCTATCCCTTCCATCCCTCCCATAAGATTTGCCATACTTTCAGTCACTCACAATATCTACTAAATGCATGAGGATATAATAATAATTTAAAACTGTGTTTCCAAACATTAACCTTAAGCTCAATCTCAATCACAGAACCTCCCACTCTCCCCATCAGATCTGAACTAATTCCAGCTAGTGCCCCTGACCTGAGCTGGTTCCAGCCAAGGTCAGGCAGGTAGGGTAGCTTCTTGACCTGGATGATGCTGTCATAGAGAGAGGGCTGCAGGCTCTGAGCCACCATGTTGGCCAAGATAACAGCCACCATCATGGGTAGGATGTGAGCAATCTGACCCGTTAATTCGAAGCAAATCACAGCTGTGGAGACTGTGTGGGACACGGCACCAGTCAGTGCTGCGGCTCCTAGAATGACACAGGAATACACCTGTAGGTTAGGAATGCCATTCTTAGCATGGAGGACATATGGGAATGGGATGGAAACAACACAGAATGAGAGACATGACCCTGGTCAGTGCCAGCACTCATGATTGTCAAGAGTAGGGACTACAGGCTGGGTGCGGTGGCTCCCGCCTGTAATTCTAGCACTTTGGGAGGCTGAGGCAGGCAGATCATGAGGTCAGGAGTTCAAGACCAGCCTGGCCAACATGGTGAAACCCCATCTCTACTAAAATACAAAAATCAGCTGGGCATGGTGGCGCGTGCCTGTAATCCCAGACACTCTGGAGGTTGAGGCAGGAGAATTGTTTGAACTGGGACCCCGGAGGCGGAGGTTGCAATAAGCCAAGATCGTGCCACTGCACTCTAGCCTGGGCTGCAGAGTGAGATTCTGTCTCAAAAAAAAAAATAAAAAAAAAAAAAAAAAAAAAAAAAAAAAAGTAGGGACTACAATACTGAACTCTTAGAAAATCATCATTTTGATCTCATTCTATAACCTTCACCAGTTACAAAATCTCTGTGTGTGCCAACATTTTCATTTATTACATGAAGATAGTGATGTCCTATCCATTTCTTGCTTTTAAAAGTTCGGATGATTATTCACTGAGCATTTTATTTTATTATTTTTAATTATCATCATTATTATTACTGTTGTTATTTGAGACAGAGTCTCACTCTGTCGCCCAGGCTGGGGTGCAGTGGTGCGATCTTGGCTCAAGGCAACCACCACCTCCCAGGTTCAAGTGATTCTCCTGCCTCAGCCTCCCAAGTAGCTTGGACTACAGGCACGCACCACCATACATATCTAATTTTTGTATTTTTTAGTAGAAACAGGATTTTGCCATCTTGGCTAGGCTGGTTTTGAATTCCTGGCCTCATGTGATCTGCCTGCCTTGGCCTCCCAAAGTGCTGGGATTACAGGCGTGAGCCACTGTGTCAGGCCTCTTCACTGAGCATTTTACAACTCAGTTATGACTTTTTTTTTTTTTTTTTAACCTTGAGCTTTAGGTATTAATGCCAACAATTAATAAGTAAATAGAGTGAAAACCCAAGAATCATGCTATGGACTTGGAGCAATGAGACCTGTGTCAGATCCTGATCTGACTATTCCTCAATGGAATGAATAGAGCTTAATTCCTGTGGAGTCCCATGCTCTCAACTATAAAGTGAACGGGGTCATTTAGATGATTTCTAAGACACTTGTAGATCTGAAACTTTATAATTGTATAAGCTCTCTGAAGATAGAATCTATCATAATTTTTGGTACGATAGGAAGGAAGGAAGGAAGGAAGGAAGGAAGGAAGGAAGGAAGGAAGGAAGGAAGGGAGGGAGGGAGGGAGGGGTCACAAAAAGGGAAATATAGGGAGGAATGACACTACTGGATAATGCATACAACATACTTCAGAACATAACAATCACCGGACATGTATACTAGGAAATATTCACAAGGGAGGCATGTGTACCAGGGAAGCATGAAGATGAAGAACAAGAGTTGATGACCCTCATTGATGAAAGAAACTATGTGAGGGGAGCAGGGTACCAAATGAGCTAGAAAGCTGGTCAGCACTTCTCTATCTAGGGAAAGCATGGCCTTAGATGTGACGGGATTTTGGTGAGGAAGGAAGCATAATAATCCCAGGATTCTATTGGTGTTAGGCATAGCTCTATCTCAGAAGTCATTTTAGAATAAAGAAACTAAGGCTCAGAAAGACAGTGATCTTTCTTCATGGTAACTGGTAACACGTGGCAGGAAAAGCCCAGAGCCATGTTTCTTAGCTCTTAGTTGTGTGCTCTTAGTCCCCGTCAATATCAACATATCTCAGGTTGAGTCAATCATCTGCAATCTGAGCCAATCATCCACATTGTTGGTTCTATGATTCTTAGGGAAGACAGAGCCTTTATCAAACATCCAACACAATCCTAGAATCTTACAATCTCATTTAATCCCTGTAATCCTTTTCTACATGAGGAAACTAAGCCTCATAGAAGTTCAATAAGAGCCAATATGGGTCAGGGCCATGGGTTTGTTATCTGGGTAAAAGCTGAGTTAATTAGCACTAAATTGAAACCATATTGTGTAACCTAGAATGAAGATGCAATGGGAGGGTTTAAGTGTGGGGATCTGGGGTACTCAGTGTTTGATTCCAGGGAAGTGGGAATGTTTCTTACCAATCACTGCATAGCCCCCAGGTAGGATTTTGTAGATGATGTCATCAAATAAAATACCATCAGGAAACAGCATGGCCATGATCTCTCCTACCAGCCTTCCAAATGCAGCTCCTAGAGGGAAGATAAAAGGAAGGAAGGTGTTAGGAGATCCAAGTTCCTTGCTCTGTTTTCAGAACCAGTCTCTCCTTGGGCATTAAGACCAAACACAAACTCCCACCATCCCGGGCCTTTCCTTATTTTTCCTGTATTCTAGATTGCAACTGTCAGTCAGACCGCAGACTTCCCATCAGAACTTACCTAGCACAAAAACGGGCATGAAGCCTCCGCAGGGTATAGGCATAGTGGTGGCCACGATGGACATCCAGAACTGGAGTAAAAAGAAGCATTGGAATACCCTCTCAACTCTGCCCAACAGACATGCACACACCCAACTCCCTTCCCACTATCCTTTCTGCAGAAATCCTGGGATAGCCGATCCTTCTGAAAGCCATTTTGCCTGCGGCCCTTCTTCCAGAAACAAAAAACAGGGCTCTCAGGCTGAGATCACCAAAGACAATACTATCAGAAGGTTCTTCTAGATGGCTAGACCAAATCCCTCCTACTTTGAATGCCTGTATTTGCCTTCCAGCATTCTAGCTAGAACAAGGAATGGAACCCCATAGTAATTCTCTTTCTCTGCCCCGAAAGAGCCCCAACCCATTGTACCCATTTAGTTCAGAAAGTTTGCCTCAGCAAAGTAGCCTGAAACTCTTGAAGGTGGAGGAAAACCTTTCCTACTTAGGTTATATTTCTGAAAAAGAGCTCCAGTTTTTTTGTTTTTGTTTTTTTTTTTTGAGACAGGGTCTTGCTCTGTTACCCAGGCTGGGGTGCAGTGGCACGATCTCGGCTCACTGCAACCTCTGCCTCCGGGGTTGAAGCAATTTTTCTGCCTCAGCCTCCTGAATAGGAGTAGCTGAGACTACAGGCACCTGCCACCATGTCTATCTAATTTTTTTTTTTAGTAGAGACGGGGCTTTGCAATGTTGCCCAGGCTGGTCTCGAACTCCTGAGCTCAGGCAATCCACCTGCCTCTGCCTCCGCCTCCGAAAGTGCTGGGACTACGGGCATGAGCCACTGCGCCTGGCCAAGGAGCTCCAGTTCTAAGTGTCAGACGTTTAAAGTCTGAGTGACTTACTGTGTGATTAATCTAATTTCATTGTGGTCATTCATACAGCCATCTATATGGAGAAACTCACAGTAGAACCTAGAGAGAAAATTTACCTGCCTAAGCCACTTGCTTTAACCATCAAATCTCCTTAAGCAAGGATCAAAAATTAGATCTGTCCTGGCTCTCTACAGGAACGGTAAATTGAGAAATCCTGATTCAGTCAATGTAGTAGAAAAAATCTCTAAGGCCAACTTTGTAAGCTAGAATTCCAACAGAAATTGAGACAATTTTAGCAAAAGCATTATGTACATTTTGAGGCAAAGAGGACAAAAGAATTGGGAAATAGAATGGAAAAAAGGCTGGTGGTTGAACTTTTTAAATATCTGTAAAAGAAATAAAAATATCAGATGTAATATGTAAGCAAAGCAACAGGTTTATATACCCCTTCCAAAATAAGTAAACCAATCTTAGAAAAGGATCTCAAACTTATTAGGTCCAAGATTGTAGCTGCTAAAGCTCAGGACAAACTGCCAACATGAAAGTATTGACAATTTTAGAGCTGTGGGCAATTGCACCATAAACTAATGAGAAATATATTTCTTAGTTTTCAGAACCTTAGAAAGAAAGAATGCCCACCATCCAGGGCTGACCTCAGGAGGTTTTTCTCAAAGACTTTCTCAAAGACTCTGAGAAAGTCTCATCCCAGAAGCTCTGAGATGAGGTAAAACACACACTCCTTCATGTCAGAATATGACTATTCAAAAACAGTTGAGAACAGCAAAAATAAATGGGCAAAATGAAGAGATTAGAGACTGAGGATTCCCTAAGGACAGAGAGGGCATCTTGTCCTTTCTGCCTCCTCTCTGCACTGGTACAGTGCTCAATAAATATAGGAAGGAGGTGGCCAGGTGGGTAGGTAGAAATGAAGGAAGGAAAGAAGGAAGATGGGCTGAACAAATAGTATTCATGCAAAGGAGAAAAAGCTTCTCAGAGCTAACATTTGCTAGAACACTAAAGAGTAATGCTCATCCAGGGGAACTTGTTTTAAATAATTTAAAATGCTGATGACCAGACCTTGCTGGAAGCTACCACATCAGATTGTCTGCAGATAGGGCTATAGGCATTTGTAGTTTAAGCTTCTTAAGTGACTCTGACATTTAACAGTTGGAGACCCCTTGAACTATCCTGTACCATCTCTTTGAAATAAGAACATAAGAGCCATAAGAGATTTTGTAGGCTCAGGTTAATCTGAAAGCTCTAGCAATTCATATAACAGGTGACCAATAGGTCTGATTTCAGAGGATGAACTTTAGATTATCCTCCAAGATATGTGTAAGAACAGTATTAGGATCAGAGGACATTGAAGTTACCAACTTCTGTAGCACAAAGGATGACACAAGAGATTAGCAAAGTTTTTTAGCTATTGGCACATGAAAGAAAAGGTCCGTAAGTAATGTTAAACACAAATAACTCCCAAGACTTTCTGACCTTTTCCTCCCTCCCTCCCTCCCTTCCTTTCTTCCTTTCTTCCTTCCTTTCTCTTTCTCTCTTCCTCTCTTCCTCTCTTCCTTTCTTCTTTGTTTTTTGATGGACTCTCACTCTGTCACCCAAGCTGGTGTGCGGCGGCATGATCTCAGCTCACTGCAACCTCTGCCTCTTGCGTTCAAGCCATTTTCCTGCCTCAGCCTCCTGAGGAGCTGGGATTACAGGTGTCCACCACCACGCCTGGCTAATTTTTGTATTTTTGGTAGAGACGGGGTTTTGCCATGTTGGTTAGGCTGGTCTCAAACTCCTGGAATCAAATAATTAGCCCCCCTGGGCCTCCCAAAGTCCTGGAATTACATTTCTTTTTGTTAAGTAGTTTAATAAATTTACATTTAAATTGATTTCTTAAATTTACATACCACTTTCATGTTATTTTTTATGTTTTTTTTTTACATTTTTTTTTTTTTTTTGCTTTCTTGTTTTTCAGATCTAGACCTACAGACCTCCCAAGATTTTAAACACTCAATTCCAGAGAACTGGAAACTGGAAACCTATTATGACAGATTCCACTATATATAGGCCTTTCATTAGATGGAGTAAAATGAAGAATTCACTTCAGGAGAATGAAGTGAAAGGAGTGAAAAAAAAATTCTGCAGCCTCAGGGTGTGCAGAGAACTTAGTGATACCAGGTAACAATGTTAGACTTATTAAAAGGGAAATGAGAATTTGGAATGGTATTCATACTCATTGTAAAAGCGCTTCTCTTGATATATAATATAATGACACTTTCCATGTCATGAGATTGAGAAAGACAGAAGTTAGAAGATAAAAGTTGCTTTCATTAATATTATAAAAAAGCTGAATTGAGAATCTTACCTGCCTGTACAGATACTGCCCAAAGACCACATAGACTAAATTTCAAATTAGACAGTGGAAAAATAGTTTCAGTCATGTTTATATTTTAATTTAGCTATGTATCCTACCTAGCTAAAAAATAAGAGTATGGTTATTGTGTCCAATGATTAGACAGCGAAAATGCTGGGAAGTGGTGATAACCAGGGAGTATCATAGATTTGTAGCGGTGAATGGTTTTATATTTATAAATATTATAGGATATTATAGGCCTGCTGCAAACTGTTGGGCTTGAAATATAGCCCAGGAAGTATGTGGGGTTTTTTTCCTGATACATGTATGATGTAACATTATCAAGGATATAATCTAGTGAGAAATTAATAATCGTGGCATAGAGTTGAGTCCTCCATGTTATCTAAGTAGGTTTCTCAAAATAAGCTTGAATTCGTGAAGTGGAATCCAGATATATACTTGGGAATCTGAGGAGCTGGGATGAGGTTTGGGGGAAATGTTGAAAAAATATACAGTATTTTGTTTTTACAGAACTTTTCGAAATCTTGATATTTTAAAGGTACACATGATTCCAATGTTGCCATATAGCTCAGTCTAGAGGAATCTCAGAAAAATATAGTTATTATCATTGGACTACTGTCCAGTTCTGAGATCCACTAAAATTTGTACTTGGTTACCGTAGGTGGGTTTGTATACTCAACAGCTAATTATAGGAGGTTGGGATTTATGAATTAGAGAAGATGAACTCTATAATGAAAGTCCAAAAATCAAATCCCTAACAAGACACTAAGAACTTCTTTTATGATAAAAATGTCAAATCTCTTGAAGAAAGACATTTTTAAAGGGATTAAGTTAATAAAGTGGGTGTGCAAAATATGAATGTTATAAACCCAATTAAACCATCTGAAGTGAAATGCAGAAGATCATTTGCAAATATAGTTTCTAGAAACCCAGAGTAAACCCTGAGAATATGTTACAGAGTTGAAATCTGGTGTATCAAGTATCTGCTCTCTGTAGTCACAACATCATTGAAAAGTATACTAAATGAACAGCAAAAAATAGAAGAACATTTTAAAATATTTTAAAATATTTTTTCTATTCCAAGCATAAGATTAGCCAAAGATTAATGATGAAATATTATGTACTTGGCACATAGTAAATGCTTAATAACACTTATTGAACAAATGAATACATGAACCCACTGCAGCTATTGCAATATAAATATAACAGTGACTCATATCCTGGGAAAATGTAGATTTATAAAAGGTGTCATAAATAAGTTAATAGCAAAGTATTCAAAAGCTTGAAAGTTCAGTATGAACAGCCTTATAAATGAGGACTAATATACAGAGGAAAATGTTGTGTTATTTAGGCAAGACCTACTTTAGTAAAAAAGGTAATCATCACAAAAGAAAAAAAAAGGGCAATCAACAATTTTTTTTTTTTTTTTTTTTTTTTTTGAGATGGAGTTTTGCTCTTGTCCCCCAGGCTGGAGTGCAATGGCGCAATATTGGCTCACTGCAACCTCCTCCTCCTGGGTTCAAGCGATTCTCCTGCCTCAGCCTCCTGAGTAGCTGGGATTACAGGCATGCGCCACCACACCTGGCTAATTTTGTATTTTTAGTAGAGACAGGGTTTCACTATGTTGATCAGACTGGTCTTGAACTCCTGACCTCAGGTGATCCACCTGTCTCGGCCTCCCAAAATGCTGAAATTACAGGTGTGAGCCACCACGCCCAGCAAGCAATCAGCAATTGTAATAAATGTCACAACCAGGGATAGAAATAAAAATATCTTACTACAAGGCAGTAATTGAGAAATCTATAAATACATAATCCTTAATGGGCAGATATGATAAAGAACTGATGTAAAAGAGATCACCTTTTTTTGCTCAATTGAAGCTAGAATGGCAAAATTCTCACAGTTTCATTACCTAAATAGAGAATAATAACATTTATACAAATTATGTGTTACAATTAATTGTTTTAATTAAATACAATTAATTTAAATATTTTATCCCTTTTGATGTTCTACAAAAGAGATTATTCACAAGACTGGGAAAAAAAAAGATGTGCAAATCACTTAAAAAATGGATCATCAGATACACGAAGAATGAAGCGCTTAATTGTCTAACAAGTGGGGGGATTAGGTTAATGAAGCCAAGGCTTTTACAGTTATCTACTATCGTGTACTTTTTTGCTTGGCTATTGTGATAGCTTAATAATTTAAGAAGAACAATCGGAAGGGTTAAGCCAAACAACAGTAAGTTGTACGAACTGAGCACTCACTAAGACATGAATAGAGCAATTAACTCAGACATTGGTTTACTTCTACAGCAACTTACTACTCTATGGTTTTGTTTTGTTTTGTTTTTGAGAATTAGCTCACTGCAACCTCTACTTCCGAGTTCAAGTGATTCTCCTACCTCAGTCTCCCGAGTAGCTGGGATTACAGGCACGCGCCACCATGCCTGCCTAATTTTTTTGTATTTTTAGTAGAGATGGAGTTTTGCCATATTGGCTAGGTTGTTCTCGAACTCCTGGCATCAAGTGATCCACCTGCCTCGGCTTCCCAAAGTGCTAGGATTACAGGCGTGAGCCACCATGCCCGGTCAACTCCATGGTTTTCAAATGACTTATTTCTAGTTTGGATGAAGACCAAATGAAGTTCTACCCCTTCCTACCCTATGCAAACCCTGGGTTCCCAGATTGAAAACAGACAGAGGTTTAGGGCATAGGTAGTGTCAGGAGCAGTACCTTCATGATGAAGAAGAGAAAGATGATGATGACAACGTTGACCTGGGGGTGAATCCACACAGCCGACTGGCCCAGGCTCTCGAGGTCACCTGCATGTTTCACCCATGTATTGTTGTCAAACAAAGTACTGATGGCTTCGCGGGGCATCAGCTGGGGAAGGAGGAAGCAGGAGGAGTGGGTACTCCAGGGACAGCCTGTGCTTCCGTTTTTTACAGAACTTATTCCCCAGCCTCATTATTCAAGGGTCTCTTTTGCCCTTTTCTCAGGGAGAATCTAGAAAGTCTATCCTTGCACAAAACTACTTATGCTCTGAAGCCAGAGGGATGTCTGTGCTGTTTCCTCTTTCCCATGTGGCCCCAGTAACCTAGTCATGTGCTCAGTGACCCGACCCCACCTCAGCTCCCCAAGAGCTGACCTCTCCAGCCATGAATTGACCCATTCCTGGTGGGAAGGTGAATGAGGCAATGACAAAGGTAATGATTCCAGGATACAGCAGGCGGCTGAAAAAGAAACAGAGTTAACCCCTGCAATTCAGCCAACTCACAGTAAATACCATATTGAACGTCGGCAAGCTGAAGTTTCCTGTAGTCCACTGTAGTCTCGTTTCTTTAAATGAAGAAGATTCTCTTCACATAAAAAAATAATATTTGAAGCCGGGTGTGGTGGCTCATGCCTGTAATCCCAGCATTTTGGGATGCCAAGGTGGGCAGACCACTTGAGGTTAGGAGTTCGAGACCAGCCTGGCCAACATGGTGAAACCTTGTCTCTACTAAAAGTACAAAAATTAGCCAGGCACAGTGGCACACGCCTGTAATCCCAGCACTTTGGGAGGCCAAGGTGGGCAGACCACTTGAGGTCAGGAGTTTGAGACCAGCTTAGCCAACATGGTGAAACCCCATCTCTACTAAAAATACATAAATTAGCTGGGTGTGAAGGTGCGGCCTGTAATCCCAACTGCTCGGGCGGCTGAGGCATGAGAATCGCTTGAACCCAGGAGACAGAGGCTACAGTCAGCTAAGATCGCACCACTGCACTCCAACTTGGGTGATGGCATGAGACTTTGTCTCAAAAAACAAACAAGCATAATCTTTAAAGGGGAGACCACACAATTCACTCCCTAACCATGGTATCAGGGGTTCCTTATATTTTAATGCAAGCCACCCAGAGGCATTTAATGCCTTCCCCAAAGATAAAAAGGGAGGAACTCTTAGAGAAACCAGAAAGTAAATGGGTAGGGCAAAAGGGCAGTGACTCACTGCTTAGCAAGAAACTGGCTGAGGGCCTTGTGCTTTCGGACACCGAGCATGACTTGGCGATGCAGATACACAAATACAGCTCCCAGGAGCCCACAGCAAATCCTGAGGGTGTAATTTATAGAGTTGGAATCTTACAGACATGAAATCCTCATCTCTTGGCCCTAGTTACTGCAGGGAAACAAATACCAGGCTTCTGCCTTTCCTATCTACCCACATAGACCCCAGCAATGTACTCTATCTGTGCCAATCCCACTTTCTTTCCAGCTTGGGTCCCTCCCAATCTACAGCCTCACCCCATTCCCTGCCCACCACACACAGTGCAGGTAACCCCACTGACCCGATGGCAGCAAAAGCTGGGAGTTCCTTCAGGTCAAAGGGGAAATCCATTCGGAAATTGGTTCTGAATAGAGCAGTGATGGTGACTGTAGGATGGAAAAGCCAGGATTAGGGTGGGCGCTTCGTAGAAACCCGACGGGAGACAGAGGTGGGCAGTTTTCAGGATTAGTTCCTTCCTTCCTCCATACCCAGTTTCTCCTCTTGAATCTCTTGAATGTATTTTCCTCTTTTCTTTTTCTTTCTTTTTTTCTGAGACAGAGGCTCTCTCTGTTGCCCAGGCTGGAGTGCAATGGTGTGATTTTTGGCTCATTGCAACATCCGCCTCCTGGGTTCAAGCAATTCTCTGCCTCAGCCTCCCAAGTAACTGGGATCACAGGCACTTGCCACCACACCTGGCTAATTTTTTATATTTTTAGTAGAGACGGGCTTTCACCATGTCAGTCAGGCTGGTCTCCAACTCCTGACCTCATGATTCACCTGCCTCTGCCTCCCAAAGTGCTGGGATTACAGGTGTGAGACACTATGCCCAGCCGTATTTTCCTTTTCTCTACATACATCCCTCTATGGATATACTCCCCTACTCCAGGACGTATATCTTTGTCATATACCCTTGGGCCTTGGTCACATCCCTCAAATGATGCCACCCATTATTCCTTTTCTGAACTGCCTCACAGAGATTTCCTCTGCACCAGCATTTCTGTTTCACATGGCCTTCACCCCAGGCCTCCTTGGTTACCAGCATCCTTGTTCCACACGGCCAGCACTCGGAACATGAAGGCACTGAACGTGGCTGCAAAGAATCCTCTCCAGTAGTTCCGAACAGCAAAGTAGGTGGAGGTGACCTCGATGCTAAATAGCACACCTGCAGGGGTCATAGAAGTGGAGTCGGGGACAGACAGCAGTGAAACGGCTCCCCCACACTCCCCACTCCTTGGACCTAAGGACTTTTGCTGAAACATGAATCTGGACAGAAGCGGTGGTGGAAAATAATGATCTCTTGGATTCCTACGCTTAAAACCACACACCTGCTCATGCTAGGAGTTTTTTGTTTTTATTTTTATTTCAGACCAGGGATGGGTCCAACAAGACACAGAGAAGATTGAAAATGAATGGGCCTTCAACCTCCAAAACATGAGGATCAAGTGTTCATGCCCTTTGCATCCCTTAGAGTGTAGGACTGAATGGGGTTTCAAAACTATCAGATACCCACATGGACTAAAGGCAGTTGAAAAAATTCTGCAGAAAAGTTAAGAGAGAGAAAGTTCCAGAGCAGGTCCTCAGCAGAGTTGCCAAGCAGAGCTCAGGATTCACAGGGACTCTCCTTAACACCCTCCTCTGGATTTTCCTTCCACCTGACATATACCACGTACCTGGGGCAACTTTATAAGGAAGACAGAACTAAAATAGGAGGGGGCTTTGCAGGAGCTGACAATCCTCAATCGTTCAAGAAAAGAAGCTAGAGGAGTCATACACATTTAAAAAAAACTAATACTAAAAACCTGCCTTAAAAGGACCAACCCAAGGGGAAAAACCAAGAGGCTAGAAGAAGATAAAAATAATGATGCCTAAGAAAGGTGGGTGAGGCAAAAGGAAAGCTAAGTAGTAGTTCTAAGTAGTACTGTTTCTGAGCGTAGGTGCTGGAGCAGAAATTGAGGGGGTAGAGCTACAGAAAAAGAACAAGGGTTGGTAGGGACAAAGTAAGGAATGCGAGTGAGGCCATAAAAAGCAACACTCAAGAGATGCAAAGAAAAAAATCTTTCAACATATTAAGAATAAGGGGGGGTGGACTTTAATCCGATGCAAAGTAAAAATTGATGACAAGATTACCTAAAACCAGGCTAACCTCATCTTTATCCCAAATGAGAGAGAAGAAACAGGGAAATGCAAGCACCCACATAACTGGATGAATGGAGATAAGTCCTGGCCTTAGGAAACCATGAACTGGGCAGGTTTATCCCCTTTCTCTCCTTGTGAACAGGGTGAACGCCCCCTTCAGGCAGCATCTAACATCCTAGTAATTTTCTTCTCCCTGAGCTACATTCAAATGTCATATCTCTTGAATCCCCCAGGACCACCACCTTCTCTTCTATAGATGACAGTCAACTAGTTACATCAAGTCATTTGCACCAAGGGGAGGGTGGTCTAATGGTTACATCAGGTCATTTGCAGCAGGGGGAGGGTGGTCTAATGGTTACATCAGGTCATTTGCAGCAGGAGGAGGGTGGTCTAATGGTTACATCAGGTCATTTGCAGCAGGGGAGGGTTGCCTAATGATTACTCCCAGATGCAGCAGCTGCTGCAGTTTGGTAGAGAATTTCCAGTGGTCAGTCCCAAGTCCCCTTCCCTGGAAAGCCATCCCCGATCCTCCTCTTCAGGTTGAAACCATCTGTCCTTCAGCCTGCAACCTCAGAATTCTGGGCTGTTATAGCACCACCGCTTTCAGATCTGGATATTTGTTTACATTTCTGAGATCCCCTAGGATTGAAAATTCCTTGGAGGCCGGGCATGGTGGCTCACGCCTGTAATTCCAGCACTTTGGGAGGCCGAGGTGGGTGGATCACGAGGTCAGGAGTTCGAGACCAGCCTGGTCAACATGGTGAAACTCCATCTCTACTAAAAATACAAAAATTAGTTGGGTGCAGTAGCAAGTGCCTGTAATCTCAGCTACTTGGGAGGCTGAGGCAGGAGAATTGCTTGAACCCGGGAGATGGAGGTTGCAGAGCGCAGAGATTGCACCACTGCACTCCAGCCTGGGTGACAGGGCAAGGCTCCATCTCGGGGAAAAAAAAAAAAATTCCTTGGAAACCAGCACTTAGTACGGTGGCATAATCAGGGCTGAACGCCTATTCTAGGGATGAGCCGTGGAGGAGAGGAAACGACAGGATGAGGAAAGACAACAAAAGAAAACAGAATTTCAGAAAACAGAGCAAGGCAATGGGCAATGTGGGGCAGACAGAGCTTGCTGATGACCCCTTCTGCCCTGCTCTTCACATCACATCAGGTAAGCAGCTGCCTCTGAGGCCTAAAAGGAGGATTTGACACAGCGGGAATCAGGCAGAGTGAGTCTCTCTCCTTTTCTATACCAGTGACAAAAGCAAGTCAGTTTTGACTTGCTTGGGTGTAAACTCTGCAACTGATGAATATTTTACAACAATTTTTTTTGAAATCCTGGGCTAGGTTTTCTTTCCCACAGTGTGGTTCTGGGACATTTTCCCTTGTAGTCTGTCACTGTATGCTCCAGAATGAGAGCTAATTTTAATATAAGCCTGAGCCAAACATAAAATGTGCAGTTAAAAGGAAACAAGGCATTAAAAACAAAAACAGCTTTTGAAAACTCTCTTCTCAGGTTCTGAAACATTGCTCTTCTCCCACCCTGGATTCCCTCTCTACCTTCTCTGCTGCTCCTGTGCCTCTGCCCAACCCTGGGCTCTGTCCTTGTTCTCCTATTCCTGCCACTCATAGGCACACTTTCTCTCTAAATTTCATGTATGCTCCTGTCATCAGCTACACCTATATGCTGCTGATTAGCAAAGCTATGTTTCTGAGCTTCAGACTCATCAACCCCACTGCACAAACAGTATCACCTAGATATGCCATAGGAACATCAAAGGCAATACACTCCAAAGTGAAAAGTATCAGCTAGCTTCCCCCACACTCAAAGTGAAATGTATCAGCTAGCTTCCCACCACACTCAAAGTGACATGTATCAGCTAGCTCCCTGCCCAGACCTTTTTCACTTGCCGAATACCCAATCTTGGTTACTAAAACAACTATCCACCCAATTGCCCTTGTAGGAAACCTGGGTGTTAGCCTAGATCCCTCCTTTCTTTTACTCCATACAAAATTAATTACCAGGTGCGGTGGCTTATGCCTGTAAGCCCAGCACTTTGGGAGCTGAGGTGGGCGGATCACTTGAGGCCAGAAGTTCGAGACCAGCCTGGCCAACATGGAAAAACCCCATTTCTATTAAAAAATACAAAAATTAGCCAGGCATGGTGGCGTGCACTTGTGGTCCCAGCTACTCAGGAGGCTGAGGTGGAAGAATTGCTTGAACTCAAGAGGTGGAGGTTGCAGTGAGCCAAGATCGCGCCACCGCACTCCAGCCTAAGCCACAGAGCCGGACTCTGTTTCAAAATGGAAAAAAATAAAATTAATCACTAGGTTATACCAATTTTACTTGCTATCGTTCTTCTCTCTCTCTTCTGTCTCTGTCCAGTTCAGTCTCTTATTACCTAGCATCAGGACTATGACAATCGTCTTCTTGTTAATCTCGGATTAATCCTGTAAATCCCCAGGCCAATTCTGTCCTGCACACATCTGACAAAGGGATTGGGTGGACGCTCAAAGCTGGTCATGTCACTTCCTTGTGCACAACTCTTTTCATGACTTTAATTCACCCATGATAGCATTTCCCAAAGTCAGGGCTGTGAGAGGCTACAAATCCCACGAGACAGAGTTCTGTGGGAAATGCTGCATTACAGCCACATTTCGGATATTCTCAATGAATGTCAGCATAGCACACGTTCTCATAACTTTTCCAGTTTCAAAAAAAACTATCTCTTTAACCAAGCATTTTCCAGCTAATTTGTAGAACCCCTTTCACATATTATATCTACTAAACCATGAAACACATTTGTGCAAATCTTAGTCTAGAGAAATCTATATTCATTTTTATTCATTTTGTGTGTGTGTGTGTGTGTGTGTGTGTGTGTGTGTGTGAGACAGAGTTTCACTCTTGTTGCCCAGGCTGGAGTGCAATGGCACAATCTGGGCTCACCGCAACCTGTGCCTTCCAGGTTCAAGCGATTCTCTTGCCTCAGCCTTCCGAGTAGCTGGGATTACAGGCATGCGCCACCACGTCTGGCTAATTTTGTATTTTTAGTAGAGACGGGGTTACTCCATGTTGGTCAGGCTGGTCTTGAACTCCCGACCTCAGGTGATCCGCCCGCCTCAGCCTCCTAAAGTGCTGGGTTTACAGGAGTGAGCCACTGTGCCCAGAGGGATGATTCTATATTCTTATACATAGCCGTGAGGGTCTTCGTAATTCAGCCCTCCTTTACTTGTCCAGACTCATTTGCTATTATTCCTTCCTCTGTATCCCCTGGTACTACTCAGCTACTGTAATGAGAGTGCCCCCATCTGGACTTTGCAATGCTGTTTCCTCTGTCCAGAATACCCTGCCCTCACCACCCTCCTTGGAAGTCCTACTTATTATTCAAGCCTCATATTAAACACTCTTTTGTGAAGCTTCACGGGCTCTTGTAGGCAGGTCAGCATTCCACTGCACTTTACCTCAGCTGCCACTGTGGGCAGTGGCAATAGTTGTGCCTGCCTGTCCACCCTCTCAACCAGGAGCACCCTGGGTGTGCAAGATCCAGCACAGGGCCTGGCACAGAATGGGAGCAAGATGCTCGTCATTTTAGTAGAGTGCTGAATTCTATTTTTCTTTCATTAGTATAAGAAATTAAGAGCTGACTCCATAATGAATACATCATTTTGATACTAATTTTCCTTTCAGAATTATTCAATATTTGTTTTAAAAAATCAAGTAATGGGCCAGGCATGGTGGTGGCTCACACCTGTAATCCCAGCACTTTGGGAGGCCGAGGTGGGTGGATCACTTGAGGTCAGGAGTTAGAGACCAGCCTGGCCAACATGGTGAAACCCCGTCTCTACTAAAAAATACAAAAATTAGCTGGGCATAGTGGCACATGCCTGTAGTCCCAGCTACTCGGGAGGCTGAGGCAGAAGAATCACTTGAACCTGGGAGGTAGAGGTTGCAGTGAGCCAAGATCACACCACTGCACTCCAGCCTGGGTTATAGAGTAAGGCTCTGTCTCAAAAAAAAAAACAAAAAAAGTAAGTGTGAACGTTTAACGTGTGTAAAAATCCAGATACATTATCCTCCACTGACAAGGACTAGTGTCTTTAATGACTAGCACTGAGGGACAGAAGTGTGAACAGGATACTAGCTGGTGCGCTTTGCTAGCTGGGGCTCCTTAGTCTGTGCGCTTTGCCACAGTGTTTGCATAAGTTAGATCATGCATCTGCATTAACTTTAAACTCTTCTCTATGTATCATTCCTGTGCCAAGTCATTTTGGTTCCCTGGAAGACTCTATGAAAAGACTGGTTAACATTTCCATAACTGAAAAGATACCTCTAACAGTGGGTCATTTAAGAAGCACACAACCTTCCCGCAATTTTGTTTCTTCACATATCAACTTGATGTCCCTTTTTATCATCAATGAATCCAGTGAATGAACTGTATAATCCCTGCCCTGCTAATCCAGCTATAATTGATTTTGATGAGTCAGTAAAGAGATATGACTGCTTTCTCCGACTGCATCTATTTGTTAATCATTCATGACAAGGGAAATAATCTGAGAGATCACTATTTGCCTTATACTTGGAGAAAGAACTAACTCAACTTTAAACTGCGATGAAGACATTAATCTTTTAAAACTCCCCTAACTATTCCTCACTAAAAGCTTATAATTAATCTAAATAAGGTCTACCTGAATTCCCGTGTCATTAGTAAAACACAACAAAATGTGGATTTTTCCCTTGAAGGAGGAAGCTCATAGAGTCCCCAGTTAGAGATGTCATCAGTGTAGGGCAAAAACATCCAACAATACAAACAGGTTTGTTTTTTGTTTTGTTTTGTTTGAGATGGAGCCTCACTCAGTCGCCAGGCTGCAGTGCAGTGGTGTGATCTGGGCTCACTGCAATCTCTGCCTCCCCGATTCAAGCGATTCCCCTGCCTCAGCCTCCCAGGTAGCTGTGATTACAGGTGCATACCATGATGCCTGGCTAATTTTTAAATATTTTAGTAAACACAGAATTTCACCATGTTGGCCAGGATGGTCTCAATCTCCTGACCCCATGATCCGCCTGCCTCAGCCTCCCAAAGTGCTGGGATACAAACAGGTTTTAATATAAGTAGGGGAGACACGGAGACTGCCTTGGTTTTAATTCCTGGCTCTGACCTTACTAACAGAATAAATTTGTTCAAGTCGCTTGCACTCTCTGTAATTCAGTTCTCTCCTCTTCTTCCTCTGTAATATCTGTCTCCTATGGCTTTGGCCAGGAATAAAAGTAAGTGCTTAGAATGTTATCTGGCACATAGCAAATGCTTACTAAAAGTTAGCTGTTCTTGTGCTCGCTTAGGCAGCGCATATACAATACAGAGAAGATTAGCATGGCCCCTGCGCAAGGATGACATGCAAATTCGTGAAAAGTTAGCTGTGCTTGTAAGTAATGTGGTAATACCAGCACTTGTGGATACTGATTAAAACTGTTTTGGGAGCCAGGCCAGGCAAGCTGATTGATGGGGGAGGGGGCCAATCACTTGCCTCCAAGTGGTGTCCCAAAACAACAGCCGACTCCCACAGCACAGCCCACCGTCAGGATATCAGAGTAGTAGTATGGCTGCTACTAGGGGAGAGACAGACAGGGACACAGGTGGAAGAGAGGGAGGTGGGCAGACAGAGGACAGGAGAACACGCAGGGATAGGGAATAAGGCAGAATGAGAGGATTAAGTCTCAAGGAGCCCTTGGGGTCCCATTTTCCCCAGGCCAAGAGCAGCTCTATGAGTTTTGCAAAAAAGGAAGTGACCTTATAGCACAGAGCCAAAATGAAATAGAAGTAGAAAATGAAATAAAAGTTAGGCAAATAGGCTGGGCATGGTGGCTCACGCCTATAATTCCAGCACGTTGGGAGGCCGAGGCAGGCAGATCACCTGAGGTCCAGAGTTCAAGACTAGCCTGACCAACATGGAGAAACCCCACCTCTACTAAAAATATAAAATTAGCCAAGTGTGGTGGCACATGCCTGTAATCCCAGCTACTGGGGAGGCTGAGGCAGGAGAATCACTTGATCTCGGGAGGCGGAGGTAGTGGTGAGCCAGGATCCAGCCACTGGCAAATATGTCAGGCAAGTAAAACAACAAATGATAACCAGAAAAGAGACAGCAAGAACTCCAGTAAGCAGTACTAATAAATCCTGCAGCAAGCAGCAACCAGTCTCAAAAGAATACACAGCCCTTTGGTGAAAAAATAGAGGTATCTGGACCCCGGGGGCCATGATCCCCAATCATTCACTGGATGCCACTCCAAAGCTTGTGGCAGCCACCCAAACCCCCCCTTCTAGGTCTTGCTTAGGCAACAGGAGTAGGGAGGAAGTGCAACTTGCCTCCAACAGGGGCTGCAAAGCAGCATCCCACGCCCACTGCACAGGCCGACACCAGGAGGTCAAGCTGCCCAGGCACGGTCTGCAACAGAGAAGCAGGCGGGCAAGGGGTGGAGGGGTGGGGCAGGCAGGCATATGTAAGAGGTGGGGTGAGGGATTGGGAGCTACAAAGAGATGGGGCAGCACAGGAGGGAAACATGGAGGGAAACTGACAGAGAGGGTGTGGTGTGGATTAGCAGGGAGAGCATGGGAGCAGACCACAGGCCAGTCCTCCATGTGGGGGGCACAGATCAAAGAGCGGTGGGCATTAGGACAGGCAGAAGCTAAACCGAGGCATTAAGTGGCTAGGGTAGGCGGACAGGGGAAGAGGAAGGGAGAGGGGATTAGTGCAATGCCCCCTTCAGCACCACAGCCAGCCCAGAGCAGAGGCAGCCCTCCCAACACCCGACACACAGCCGGACTCCTTCTACCACCTGGCCCCAGCTCATTTCACTGCCTCAACCTTACCTCATATACCCCGCAGAACACAGACATGAACTTGCTGAGGACAGCAGCACAGATGCTGGCAATGTGGACGAAGGGGCCCTGGGAGAGAGGAGAGCAAGGAATCGGGGGTCAGAGGCCAGATGGAGGCTCTGTAGCACTCACTGGACTCATATTCCTTACTCTAGGCACTGTGCCAGGGGCTGGAAATACAGGAGTTACACAGAGGTCCTGCCCTTATGAGGCTTCATCCCAGAGGAAGGAAGAGGAGAAAACAGTGTGTTTCTCCTCTCGGAGTTTCAGGTAACACCAAGGGCTGTGAAGAAAATCAGGGTGAATAAGGGGACAGAGAGCCAGGGTGGAGGAGGGTGGGAGGGCACGTGTTTAGAGAAAAGGGCCTAAGGAGCCCCCCTCGATAGAGAGAAGCACCTTGAGTGATGGGAGGGAGGGAGCAAGCAGATGTCAGGAGAAAGAATGTTCCACGCTGAGAAAACAACACACAGGGCAGAGTGACTGAGGGACAGAAAGGAAACCTATGAGCCAAACACACGGGAGCTGGGGCAGAGGCCTGGAGAGAGGAGGAGCCGGAGTCCACCATCTCAAAGGTTATGTATGTAGGAAGTTCCACTTCGGCTGGGCACGGTGGATCACACCTGTAATCCCAGCACTTTGGGAGGCCAAGGTGGACAGATCACCAGGAGTTGGAGACCAGCCTGACCAATAGGGTGAAATCCTACCTATACTAAAATACACAAAAAATAGAAAAATTAGCCGGCCGTGGTGGCATGCACCTGTAGTCCCAGCTACTCTCGAGGCTGAGATAGGAGAATCTCTTGAACCCGGGAGATGGGGGTTGCAGTGAGCTGGGATTGTACCACTGCATTCCAGCCTGGGCAAGAGAACTAGAAGAGCTAGACACCGTCTCAAAAAAAAAAAAAAAAAAGTTCTGATTTTATTTTAAGAGGCATGGAAGCCTTAAGAAGTTTTTGACCAAAGGCCAGACATGACTGATTCCATTTTTAAAAGATGCCTCTGGCTGCTGGGTGGAATGCGGCGGTAGGGGGCAAAGATGCTCTCCAGCAGAGAATGGAAGGAGGCTGCACCCCACCGAGCAGCCTTGAAAAAAGCACAGCCTCTTTCTCAGATTTAAGCAAGAAAATTGGTCTGGATGATCATTAAGACTGGTTTTCAACCATGGGAGATGTTGTCCTCTGGGGCCCATATCGCAATGTCGGAGGACTTGCTGGTGTCACCACTGGGGGATGCTGCTGAGCATCTAGAGAGGGTCAGAGAACAGGGATGCCACTAAGTCCCCTCCACTGCCCAGGACAGCCTCTCACAGCACAGAATTTTCCAGCCCCAAATGTCAGGGGTGTCCAGTCTGAGGTCCTGCTCCAAGCTCCCCAAGCTGTGCTTTTGTCATTGTACCCCAAGTGGAGGACCTTCCAAAGCATTTCCCCTTCCTAATGTCCCCTGGCCCTGGCCTTGGTCCTATCCCCGATCCACTTCCACTCCCAGAGCTCCCTCTAGAGTTCGTGCCACTCTGGCTCCCAAGGGTCCTTCCCGGCTCTTGCCTCAGTCATGCCAGGCCTACCTCTTTCCCCACAGGGATGCCACTGCCCAGGCCCGCAGTCAGTGCGACAACCTTGGCCACAAAGGCTTTCATTGTGAGATATTCCTTCAGGACAACCCCACGAAGTATTGTCTTCATCTCGGGGATTCCGGAGCCTAAAGGCGTTGAAGGATTAGATGCAGGGTCAAAATGGAGATTAAAAGGGAGATGAACATCTGGAACGTGGGAATGGGAATCGGGTAGCGGGGGATGAAGAGGTAGGGTGGGGAGGATGGGACGAAGAAGCACAGGGCTGTGGGTGGGGCTGGACAAGGGGGAGACAGAGAGGGCCCCTCTCAGGCCACCCAGCTCAGGCTGTCTGGTGGCAAGTTCTCACCAACAGCCTGGGGAGAGAAGAGGTGGCAGAAGAGGGCGCTGAAGAGGATGAGGACGAGTGGGAAGGTGACCCAAACCAGGAACTGCAGAGGAAGGCTGGGCCGCATCTGAGCATAGGACCACTTGTAGGCTGCAGAGACACATGCCTGGGGTTAGGCAGAGTGTGGCTGAACAGCCATGTCTGCGCACCAGGCAGTATATCCGGCGTGTTCCCAGGCAGTGCTCATTCTGTGTGCCCTTCCCTAGATGGTGCTGCTCTCATTTGACACATGGGAAGCCTGGGTTGTGGGAAGTGACATGGCCTGTTCCAGTTGGTGGTTGGTGGCTGTGTCACGAATCCCACTGGCGTACCGGGGCTGGAGGCCTGTGTGTGACAAACCACCCAGTGTGCCCAGAACCGAGGGGCTTCCTGGGATTCGGGATGTTCAGTGCTGAAACTGGGAAAGTTCCTGGGAAACTGGGGCAAGTTGGTTACCCTAATAGAGGGGCACCCACTGCTGGGGTGGCGCGAGTAGAGGGGTGTGAGAACTGGGGCAGGCCTGGGTCTGTCTTTTCTGGGCCTAGAGTCCCACCTGATCCCTCTCTGTGCAACATCCGCTTCCCACAATATACCCTGCTTCCCTCGGTAGAAACTCCAGAAGCAACTGTGGGCAAAGGTCCAGGTTAAACCTACCCTGAAGGCTTTTGGCACTGACATAGTCCATGCTCCAGCTGACCAGGGCCATCAGCAGTCCCAGAAGCACCAGAAAGATCCAGTCTTCCCCTAACTTTCTTCTCACCATCTGTCCCAGGCGGCGGACACAATCTAGGAAGAGATGAGGGTGTACAAAGAGAGAGAAAGGGTGACAGAGAGAGAGAGAGAAAGAAGAAAAAAAAAAAAGCAGCTAACCAGTCACTATTTTGGGTGTGAGACTCAGGAGGGGAGGGGAGGCCTTGGGCCCTCAGGGTCTTGTCTGTGCATCTTCTGCACTGAGTTTCTCATTACCCTTCTGCCGATTGCTGCCCTGGTCCCTGCAAAAGGCACCAAAGTCCAATTCCCCATGAATACCTGAATTCCTTTCTAAAACTCGTTTCTTGGAGTTGGGGGAGGAATAACAGGGAATAGGGGAAGTGCGAAGGAGGTGGAGAGAGGTGCCTTTTCCTTATTACTTAGAGAGGCCAAGGATGGTGGCTCACATCTCTAATCCCAGCACTATGGGAGGCCAAGGCGGGAGGATTGCTTGATGCCAGGAGTTCAAGACCAGCCTCAGCATCTCCACCAAAAAAAGTTTTTTTTTTTTTTTTTTTAAAGGAGTTTCGCCCTTGTTACCCAGGTTGGAGTGCAATGGCGCGATCTCGGCTCACCGCAACCTCCACCTCCTGGGTTCAGGCAATTCTCCTGCCTCAGCCTCCTGAGTAGCTGGGATTACAGGCACGCGCCACCATGCCCAGCTAATTTTTTGTATTTTTAGTAGAGACAGGGTTTCGCCATGTTGACCAGGATGGTCTCGATGTCTTGACCTCGTGATCCACCCGCCTCGGCCTCCCAAAGTGCTGGGATTACAGGCTTGAGCCACCGCACCCGGCACTCCAAAAAAAGTTTTAAAATTAGCTGGGTGTGGTGGCATGTCCCTATAGTTTCAGCTACCGGAGAGGTAGAGGCAGGAGGATCACTTGAGCCCAGGAGTTTTGGGCTGCAGTGAGCTACAATCACTCCACTGCACTTTAGCTGGAGTGACAGAGTGAGACCCTGTCTCTTAAAAAAATTAGAGGAGAGTTTTTGTAACAGGGCAGGGAGTATGTATGCACAATGGGATGCCCTAGTTCTCCTCCTAATCCCTGTACCTCTTTCTACTCCAGATTCCTTTATTCCTCAGTCCCTATCACCTTGACATTTGGAGTAGTGATCCTCATCCTTGCTGTCCACAGTAGAACTGGAGTCCGTCTTCTTGGGCATCCCCATGTCCCATTCCCTGTCTGAGAATTGTTCTTTGTGATGGCCATAAATCTGGACAGAGGGAAAATGATCGATGTCTGTCTTGTTGAAGAGTGAAAAATAATAGAGGGCAGCGCACAGACTCACAGAGGAAAAGAGCAACAGCTTAACTCACAGAAGAAAAGAGTAATAGCTTTTCTGAATTCTGGGTGTTGATTGCATGCAGGGTGACTTCGTGGTCATCCCTGTCCTCAACTCTCCACCCTCCATTTCCACGTTTCCCACTCTTTCCCTTGTCTGTTTATCCTTCCTTTCTCCACCCATTCTTCAACCTCTACTCATCTTGATCCGGGGCAGCCTTTATTAAGGAGACCAGTTTCTGCTTTGAAGCAGAGGTACAGGGCGGTGGTGAAACCAGGTGACCATATCAATCGTGTTCTGCGTGTCACTGTGCTTTCTGGATGTCCCACAATTTCCCCAGACCACCTGCACTGACTTTCCTGCTAACGTGAATAGGGTGAGGACAGGCTGGGCTCACTAGCAGGGCAGTCTTGGTTGCACTTTGCCTTAGTGTGTCTAGCCTTACCTGAGGTGCTTCAGGTCCTCTATCAAGCTTCAAGCCCATCCACCTCATCTCCTAGTGCTTGTATGCACACACAGGAACTAGCACCCCAAAGCAGGTCAATCTACTTCTTCCCATAGCCAGGTAATTCCCACCTGCCCCACATGTGAAAAGGGCAGAGGAGCTCCTCCACGTGTGTCTGTGTGAGATTTACAATAGCTCCAACCGCTTTTAGCCTGCCCCACTCCCACTACACTAACTGTCCTCTGGGGCCAGGGTCAGGCTAGGCCACATTGCTGATTCTGGGAGAGCCTGAGTAGAAGAGATCTGATTTCACAATACGAGCAGCATTTTACGTCGCAGTCCTGAACAGGCACACACATGAATTGCCCTGCTCATGGCTGTTTGTCTTCTGGGTTAGTGACCGAGGGAGGCAGTGTTTCCCTCCAAGCCCTATCTGGGACCCAGAGAGAGAAGACACTTCCCAGCGGAAGTCAGAGGGCTGAGGCTGTCTCAGCTCCTAGAGGCCCCAGGCCAGCGGAGATGAGGAAGGGGGCTGCTTCATATCATCATACCTGGGCTGGGAAAACAAAAGGGCTAGTCTGTCCCAGCTGGTCCCATGCTAAACATCACACCAGGGCAGGTGAGGAAAGGGCAAGGGAGAAGTCAACACTCAAGTCTACAAGTGACACGATGTCTGGGATTTGTTAAAAAGTATTCCACAGCATGTAGAGGGGTGAGAGTGGGGAAGGAAAGAATAGCTGGAACAATAGTGACAAAATATTGATAAGTGTTGGGGACTTGGGGCTTCACTATACCATCCCATTTTTGTGTAAGTCTGAATTTTTCATAATAAAAATTAAACCAAGAAAAACAAATCCGGGCGGGGTGCAGTGGCTCATGCCTATAATCCCAGCACTTTGGGAGGCCGAGATGGGTGGGTCACGAGGTCAGGAGTTCGAGACCAGCCTGGCCAACATGGTGAAACCCCATCTCTACTGAAGATACAAAAAATTAGCCAGGTGTGTTGGCAGGTGCCTGTAATCCCAGCTACTCAGGAGGCTGAGGCAGGAGAATAGCTTGAACCTGGGAGGCAGAGGTTGCAGTAAGTGGATTTCATGCCACTGCACTCCAGCCTGGGCGACAGAGCGAGACTCTGTCTCAAAAAACAAACAAACAGAAAACAAAACAAAGCAAAAAAACACAAAACAAAAACAAAAAGAAAGAAAAAGAAAAGAAAAACAAATCCAAACTCGTTTGCTTTTGAGACCTCTAGGAAACAGCCCAATTCTACTCCCCAAACTAACCATACCTTCCCAACATGAGGCTTCATGCTCACCTGGCCAGTCTCCTCACCGTCACCAGGAAGTGCCATAATGCCACTGTTCTCAAGTTGTCATTCCACCCAGATACCACCACATACATGGGTGAGAGCACAGGGTCAGGGGGAGGGGTCTTCCCTCCTGCTGATCCCAAATGGTGTCAAAGGCCTAGTCAGACCCCGCTATCTCCTAGTCAGACCCTGCTATTTCCAGTGTAGGCTGGAATCTTCCTAACGTTCGATTCCAGCCTACACTGACCTGTATGTCCCTGCTTCCCAACTGGGTGCCTGGTGCTGCCTTCGCAACTATGCTTGGGGGTTGGTCAGGGACTGAGAGCAGATCCTTTTGACCCTCAATGTTGAGATCCCCTGCACAACTCACACCTCTGCTTCCCAGACCTAAAGTAACTGTATGCTCCCTGTTAAAACAAAAGACAAAACAAACAAACAAACAAAAGGCCTTTTAAGTGCTGACCAGGCTGGATGTGGTAGCTCACACCTGTAATTCCAGCACTTTGGGAGGCAGAGGTGGGCAGATCGTCTGAGGTCAGAAGTTCAAGACCAGCCTGGCCAACAAGGCAAAATCCCGTCTTTACTAAAAGTACAAAAATTAGCCAGGCACAGTGGCAGGTGCCTGTAATCCTAGCTACTCAGGAGGCTGAGGTAGGAGAATTGCTTGAACCCAGAAGGTGGAGGTTGCAGTGAGCTGAGATGGTGCCACTGCACTCCAGCCTGGGAGACAGAGCAAGACTCCATCTTAAAAAAAAAAAAAAGTTCTGACCAACTGCCATCTGGACGTGTTCCATCCTCTGTTGTTCTCTGCATTCTTTGAAGTGAGAGGCACACTTACTTTTTAACCGTGACCTATCTTTTTCCATGACAATTTCACAACCTTCCCGTCAGTTGTGCCCACCCCCATTCCCCCTTTCCCAGGCGCTCATTTCCACCAATCCCAGCACAAGAGGCTGCTCATCCCTAGCCGCTCCTAGTTTGCAGGCTTCTGTTGCTGGGATCACATCTCTGCACTTTTCCAGGTGCCTAACACTTAATAGGTTCTTACTTGATCATCTTGCCACCTAAAAGCTTAATTACATCTCTGCTCATTTTGACGTTGGTAGGTAGGTTTTTGATCACTGGTATGCAATTCAGTCTGTTTTCTACACTTGCCCAACCCCCTCTTCTGCCTTCCGCAGAAAGATTCATGTGTGTGTGTATTCTGCAGAGGGTCGCAGAGGCAGAGATCTAGCAGTGTCTGCCTGTGGATGAGGGTGTGGGAGACAGCTCCCAGCACACTGCAGTGTGGGCTCCTACGCAATCCACTCCACGTAGGTTATGTAAGCAAGAGCTCTTCATGCCTGTGAGGCTCTGCTGTTTCCCCACATGATTCAGGTATTCTGTTGGTAAAGGCTGGATACAAGTACATGTATATCTCTCTAAGTGCATACTTAGGTGAGTCCAACTCTCAAAGGTTTCCATATTTTGAATACATTACCATGTACTTGCTTTTAAAGTTAAAGAAATGCAGCACTGCTCCCTCTTTTCACCCAATTCCTAATTTTCACCAGTCTCTTGCACCATGGTCTCCCCTCATCCCTGGCTCCCCTCTCCCTTTATAGCACTTTACCTGTGTGGGGTGGACGTTGTGTCGGGGGCCTGCATCCTTCCGGAGCCTGTGCTGGAGGCCCCCGTTCTCAGAGGGCAGTCCGTAGCTGGTGCAGTGTTCAAAGGGCATATACTGGTACTGGGGGGCACTACCCCACCAGCTTTGCTCACCCCCATGCTGCTGTGACCGGGATTGTTCCATGTTCCCTCCCCCCGATCCCCAGGCAGGCCTTGGCCTGCTTGCCCCTGTCCTTCCCCCAGTGTAGCTCCTTAAGCCTCTGCTCTTGCTGTCCCCAAGGCGTCTGGGGCAGCATGCCCACCTCTAGCTATTTATAGCCCCCTCTCCGTCACATGACCCCCCACCACCACATCTGATCTGCTTGGGGTCGAAGCAGGTGTGAGTGCAGTGTGGGGGTGGGGGTTGGGATGAGGACCTGAGGGACAGCCCCACAGGGAATTCCCTCTGCTGAGCCGGTGGCATTGCCCCCCTCCTTAGTCACCAGTAGTAGGCTTCCAGCTCCATGTCACTGGTCCCTCTATAAATATCGCCTGGACCAGGATGAGAAACTGCTGAGTGTATTCTCAAACCTGTGTGTAGAGCCGGATCTGCATGGAAGCCCTCCAGCTGCCCCTCTCTCTTCTTCAGGATGTGGAAGGTGAGGGGTGGGTGCTGGATAAAGATGAAGCGGAAACAGTGGCATGTTAACTCACCTGGGAGAGTAACTGGTGCCTCTCTGCCATGTCTCCTGGCTGGCTTATTCCCAGCTCTGTGTCCATCCAGTGTTCTTTCTGGCCAGCTCCGCCAGCCCATCCCATGTCCAGTGTTCTTCTCCAGCTCTTTGCCCTCCTGTCTGCCAGAGGCTGCTAATAACATCTTAGGAGCATCCTCTGATCCCATCCTTATCACCTGCTGGATGTGGAATGCTTGTGGGAAGTGGGAAGTTGGGGATGGGTAATAGCCTTGGGTTCTAGAATTTCTCCCACTTCCCAGACTGTTAGCTGTCCATCACACTGCCAATCTGGAGGGACTGAACTTCCATTTAGACTGCGGTGTGCCCACCACGGCTCCATCAGGACAGGTTAGATAACAGGGGAGAGTCAAAAGTAAGCCAGAGGCACAGGGAGGGGAGAGGTGGGAAGGGAGTGAGGGCTTCTCACGACAAACCCGACAAACATGAACGATGATGGGGAAGTGCTCTCTGCTCTTCTTCCCTTTTTGGATCAAGAAATACTTCTTGGCCAAGGACAAATGTTTCTTTCTGACATCACATTATAAACCAGTTTTCCTATGACATCTCTTCCCTATGAACTCCTCACTAGAGGAGAAAAGTTAGGAACTCAGCCAAAGCAAAGTTTAGGATCCATCACCAACTGGGGTCTGTCCCAGGAGAGTCCAAGTTCAGGGACTGCAGGGTAGGGATGCCAAACATCTGGTCTACAATGGGATTTTGATCTAGGCTAAATGGAACCACCCAAAGCAACAGGGAAGCCAATACCATTCAAAATACTTTTTCTAGGGGCTCAACATCACAAATCATCATGAAAATACAAATCAAAGTCATAATGCAATATTACCTTATACCTGTTAGGATAGCTATGATCAAAAAAGCAAGAGATAGCCAGGCGCGGCAGCCATGCCTATAATCCCAGCACTGTGGGTGACTGGGGCAGGCAGACTGCTTGAACCCAGGAGCTCGAGACCAGCCTGGCAACATAGGGATACCCTGTCTTTATAAAAAAATCCAAAAATTGGCCAGGTGTGGTGGTGCACACCTGTAGTCCCAGCTACTCAGGAGTCTGAGGCAAGAGGATCACTCAAGCCTGAGAGGTGGAGGCTGCAGTGAGACGAGATAAATGTTGGCGAGAATGCAGAGAAAAGGGAACCCTTGTGCACTGCTGGTGGGAATGTAAGCTGGTATAGTCATTGTAAAGAACAGTACAGAAGTTCCTTAAAAAATAATAACCACTCCCATATGACTCAGCAATTCCCATATATCCAAAGGAAAGGAAATCAGTATCTCAGGAGGTAGCTGCATTCACACATTCATTGCAGCATTATTCACAGTAGCCCAGATATGAAAACAATCTACGTGTCCACTAACAGATGAATAACGAAAATGTTGTGTATATATAAATAGACATAATGGAATACTATTTAACCTTGACAAAGAAGAAAATCCTGCCATTTGTGACAACCTGGATGAACTGCAGACACAGAAAGACAAATACTGCACCATTTCACTTGTATGTGCAATCTAAAATAGGCAAACTCATAGAAGCAGAAAGTAGAGGGTGGTTGCCAGGGGCTAGGCTGGAGTAGGGGTTGGGGGGATGGGGAAATGCTGGTCAAAGGTTCAGTTATACAAGATGAGAAAGTCCTGGAGATCTAATGTACATGGGACCACAGGAAGTATACTTAAAATTTGCTAAGAGGGTAGATCTTGAATGCTCTCACCTCCCTCCACCCCCACAGGAACTACGTGAGGTGATGGATATGTTACCCAGCTTGATTGTGATGATCATTTCACAATGTACACATATATCAACACATCAAGTCATATACCTTAAATATGTATAATTTCTATGTCAATTATATACCAATATAGCTAAAAAATAAAAATAACACTTGCTGTAACAACAATCCTACAAACCTCAAGGCCTATAATCTTTCCACAAAAATTACAAATGTGTGATAAATTGAGAGACTAAAGATTCTGTGATGATACCCACCTTTTCTGCAGGCAGAAAATACAGAAAGACATCTACGGGATTGGTATGAGCAGAAAGGAACACTTTCTTAATTAAAAGAATAGAGTCCCAAGATGAAATTGCATTCCTTGGAGGGCTTCAGAAACAAAAATTTCCCATTTGTGGAGCATAGCTGTCCTGAAAGTAATCAGTTGTTGTAGGAACTTGATAAATATAAGCAGCAAATATGAGATGCAATTATGACTTTCTTACTATTTCTGAGAAAAGCAGGTCCCTGAAACAGGGCAGCCTAGTCATGGACTCTGAGATTTGAAGGCAGAGACCAGTGGGGTGAGGATAGTACTCATGTCTAGCCAAGTCAGGTGGAAGCCTATAGCCTAGAAGGAAAGCACCAACTGCAATCCTTAAAACTAGATTCTAAAATTAGGAGGGTCAAAGACATGTACAGGTTATCAGTGCTGGAGAGCAAGGGTTTGAGAGTAAATATCCTGTGTTTGGGGCCGGGCACGGTGGCTCACACCTGTAATCCCAGCACTTTGGGAGGCCGAGGAGAGTGGATCACGAGGTCAGGAGATTGAGACCATCCTGGCTAACACAGTGAAACCCTGTCTCTACTAAAAATACAAAATATTAGCAGGATGTGGTGGTACACACCTGTCGTCTCAGCTACTTAGGAGGCTGGGGCAGAATTGCTTGAATCGCGCCACTGCACTCCAGCCTGGGCAACAGAACGAGACTCAGTCTCAAAAAAAAAAAAAAAAAAAAAAAAAAAAAAATCCTGTGTTTGAAATTAGAAATAGTTTAAATCCCATGGGTTTAAATCCCTGGAAGAGAACAAGAAAACAAAATGTAAACCATGCCTACTCCTCCCTCCAACATCCTGCTAGGCCAAGTAGCTCATTTGGAGGCACAAAGATGGGCTTCTGGGGATTCCTATGAAGCTCCTAAATGTGGAAGCAAGTTCATAAGCATGTATGAATGATATATATTCTTTTGGGGATTTATTTATTTCTTTTGAGATGGAGTCTCGCTCTGTCACCCAGGCTGGAGTGCAATGGCATGATCTCGGCTCACTGCAATCTCCGCCTCCCAGGTTTAAGCAATTCTCCTGCCTCAGCCTCCCGGTAACTGGGATTACAGGCACTCACCATCATGCCCGGCTAATTTTTGTATTTTTGTAGAGACCGGTTTCACCACGTTGCCCAGGCTTGTCTTGAAACTCCTGACCTCAGGTGATTTGCCTGCCTTGGCCTCCCAAAGTGTTGGGATTACAGGCGTGAGCAACCACACCTGATCTCTTTTGGGTTTTGAATAGATCATCCTAGGGTCCATTACATAAAAAGTTTAAAAGCCCATAGGCTATGGAATTGCTATTTGAAGGAAAATTGTGCAAAGTGGCCATGCAAGCTACATGGAGGAATAGTTTCCTGTTGGGGTATAGGTGAATGATTTTTCTTTCTGGGTTATACCCTTGTCTTCAGACTCACGTCTTCCAGTCTGGCCTCCCCAACATACTGGGCAGTATAACCCTTATGTTCTTTAAAGGTGTTTTTAGTCATCATTTTCCCTCTGCAAATCCAGGGAGCCATGGAACCCATGCCTACCTACTTTCTGAAATTTCAGCTAAGATACTACAACTTCCTGTAAAGACACTTTCTCTGTAGCACACTCCACTGGCAGTCACATCTCCTCTCCTGTTTATTGTGCCTCGCCTCCTTATTCTTTTTTTTTTTCTTTTTTGAGATGGAGTTTTGCTCTTGTTGCCTAGGCTGAAGTACAATGGCGAGATCTCGGCTTCACCACAACCTCTGCCTCCCAGGTTCAAGGAATTCTCCTGCCTGAGCCTCCTGAGTAGCTGGGACTACAGGCATGCATCACCATGCCCAGCTAATTTTTGTATTTTTAGTAGAGACGGTGTTTCACCATGTTGACCAGGATGGTCTTGATCTCTCGACCTTGTGAGCTGCCTGCCTCAGCCTCCCAAAGTGCTGGGATTGAAGGCGTGAGCCACCACACCTGGCCACCTCCTTATTCTTTAAGTATCCTTAGTCCTTTCCTATCCCCTGCATGTCAGGCTTTCCCTGTAGCACTTGACAGGTCTCTTTCTCCCCCTTCTGGCTTTTCAAATATGATACATTTTCCCAAAAACTCCTATCTAATTAGAACTTAACATGGAATAAGGTTTTGGGCCTCAGTTTCATTCCCCCAGCCTAATGGGAGGAATCTTACAGCACAAAAACGCCAGGAAGAAAAACTCCTTCATGCCAGAGTAAGTCACAAAAGCAAGAGTGTTAGCATATGCTCAAACTGATGGCTTTTGTTTCATATCCTGACCTCAGTTTCCTCAGAAAGGCAGTAACTAGAGGGTTAATAAGATAAAACAATGCATGCAAAAAACGTGCTATAATGTTTGACCCATAGTAAGAACTGTTGACTCATATTAAACTGACACTCATTCTGTGAGTTAACATTTATCAAGCATTTTGTATGCATTAACACCATATAATTTACACGTATCATATTTAATCCTCATAGGGACATTGTAAGGTAGACACAATTTTCCTCATTTTTAAATGAGGGAAATTGAGGCTGTGTTAGCTACCTTGCTCAAGGTCTCCAATATCTTCAAAGGTAGAGCCAGCATTCAGAATCAGAGCTACTGAATTCTAGAGTCCATACCATTAAAGCTACATTTCTGGCCCAATGCAGTGGTTCACGCCTGTAATCTCAGCACTTTGGGAGGCCGAGGTGAGCAGATCACCTAAGCTCAGCAGTTCGAGACCAGCTTGGGCAACACGGTGAAACCCCGTCTCTACTAAAAATACAAAAATTAGCTGGGCATGGTGGCAGGCGCCTGTAGTCCCAGCTACTCGAGAGGCTCAGGCACGAGAATCGCTTGAACCTGGGAAGTGGAGGTTGCAGTGAGCTGGATACCACCACTACACTCCTGCCTGGGAAACAGAGTGAGACCTTGTCTCAAAAAAAGAAAAAAAAAGCTACATTTCTTCCTCTTTTGATAACTGAAAGTCTCCGAGCTTCCTTTTCCTCTTCTGAAAAAAAGGGAAAATGGGCCAGGCGTGGTGGCTTGTGCCTGAAATCCCAGCCCTTTGTGAGGCCAAGGTGGGTGGATCACTTGAGATCAGGAGTTTTGAGACCAGCCTGGCCAAAATGGAGAAACCCCATCTCTACTAAAAATACAAACATTACCCAGGGATGGTGGCGTGTACCTGTAATCCCAGCTACTCGGGAGGCTGACGCAGGAGAATTGCTTGAACCTGGGAGGCAGTAAGCTGAGATAGTGCCACTGCATTCCAGCCTGGGTGACAACAGCAAGCTGTCTCAAAACAAAAGAGAAAATGACTCCTTCACAGAAGCACGGGGAAAATGAAATGGAAAGCTCCTCTCAATGCCTACAATATACCAAGCACTCAACAGTTGTAGCTATTATTGTCTTCTTCCTTCTCAGGTTAGACACCTTTCCTCCTCCCTCCCTTTAAAAAAAAACAAAAAAAACCCAAAAAAGATGAGGGTCTATGTTGCCCAGGCTGGGCAACATAGTTTTCAACTCCTGGGCTCAAGCAAATCCTCTCTCCTCAGCCTCTTGAGTAGCTAGGACTCTAGGTGTGTTACTGTGCCTGGCCTCATTCTTTAGAGACAGGGTTTTACCATGTCACCCAGGCTGGTCTCAAACTGTTGAGCTCAGGTGATCCACCTGCCTTAGCTTCCCAAGTGCTGGGATTATAGGCATGAGCCACAGTGCCCGGCTAGCCGGCGCCATTCTTAATATCACAGCTTTGGTTGGGTGTGGTGGCTCGTGTCTGTGATCCCAGTACTCTGGGGGGCCAAGGCAGGAGGATCACTTGAACCCAGGTATTTGAGACCAGCATGGACAACAAAGTGAGACCTCATCTCTATTTTATAGAATAACACTTAAAAAAAAAAAATTTCTTTTAAATCACAGCTTTGGTCTGATATTACACTTTTTCCTTCTTCCTGTTTTCCTTTTCCCCATTAGAGGAAACAGGATGGAGGAGGGCAGCAGAGGGCAGCCTCCAGCTCTGGGAGGGGGATAATTTTAGAAGAGAATCCTCTGGCAGAGGTAAGCAGAAGGGAGCAGAGCTGTGAAATTCAACCTCATTCCCTTATTCAAGGGCAAGGGGGTTGGGGGGCAGGGAAGACATGGAATCCAGTTCAGAGATACTGCTCTGTAATTCCCAAATATACACCTCTGAAAAGCCTTCCTATCCTGAAAATGGGTACTTAACCTTACTCCCACTATTTCCATAATTTCTTCACCTCTCCTAGATTTTGTATCCCTCCCTTGAGGCTATCCCATGGTTTTTTTTTTTTTTTTTTTTGCAGTACAATCAACCAGTTTCAGTCCATTTTTCATGCTCTTTTGCCTCCAGTGTCCTGTACCAAATTCCCCTCTACCAAGGTGCTTCGGCTCACCTCAGTCCCCTTCCGCTCTTCCTAGACAGCCATTGCCTGCTCTATATCACTCAACAATGTTTCCAGCTCCCACAGTTGTTTCCTACCAAACAAAAAAGTTTTGTTTCCGGCTGGGTGTGGCGGTTCATATCTACAATCCTAGCACCTTGGGAGGCCGAAACAGGCTGATCATTTGAAGCCAGGAGTTAGAGACCAGCCTGGCTGACATGGTGGAACCATTACATCACATTAAAAAAAAATTGCTTCCTACCAAAACTTCTGTAGAAGTTCCTACGGAACTTCCTGTCTCTTGTCAAACTTCCATAGCCCATCAGCATTTGCACCTCTCTCTCAGGCATATCCTTTAGATACAATGCCCTCCTAAAGTATCCCAACTTACAAAAATCCATTGCTTTGATCTCTTCCATGCTGCACCAGAATCATCTTACAATCTGTACCCACTCTAGAAGAGCTTAAATGCAACCAGGGAAAAAATGGAATTCTACTATCTTCATTCTCCTAGCCTCCTATTCCAGCCCAATCTGTTAGGCAGCCTACATCTCACAGTCTAAATAACCAAGAACCAGCACTGTTTGCTAATGACCATCTCATCTGACTGTGAGAAATCCCAGGACTATGTCAACTGAGATGGGCCCACAGCTGCATATATTTACAGGATCATGAAGCAAAGTAAGACGGGGTTTTCAGGTCTGGTTATGCCTTGTGAGGTGGTGAGGAATGCTGCAGTGTTAAGGGGCTAAGGAAGCAAAATCTGTGGGCTTCAGAGGCCTGAGTATTTACAGAAACAGAGGTATTGAGCACACATCAGTAATAAATATGAGCATTTATTTGGCACCTGATGGCAATACAAAATCCTGGCAGTGGGAGTGGAAAAGTTACTCACTCAAATACTTCCATACTATGTTGACCCAAAGGCAGGACTTGGCAGCAAGGCTTCAAACCACCCAGCTCACAGAACAAATATTTATTGAGCACCTTGACTACTACAGGCCTAGCATTTTGCTAGAGACCATGGGAGATGTGAAGGGAGTTACCTCACATATAATGTCCCCAAGGAGCTAAAAATGCCAGCAGATAAAAGCAAAACACATGGAAAATCAAAGTACAAAAATAATAAACCATGTATACTGTCAAAAGGAAAATTTTATCAAAAGGCAGAGTTGTAGCTAAGGTTGACTTGCCTTCTTTGTTCTTTTATTCAACAAACATTTACTGAAGACCCACTATGTGTCAAGTACTCAGTACATGATAGTGAATAAAACAAGCAAGGTTTCTGCCCTTCTTTACAGCCTGGGAGGGGAGACAGAAATGAACAAGTAAAACTAGCATATATGTACACTGCAATAAATGCAATGGGGGGAAAGGACAATACGTGGTGACAGCCACAGGAGAAGACTGTTCAACGACAGAAGGGCCTGGGAGTGGTCAAGACTTGAGGAATAAGGACACCGCCTGAGTCAAGAGTGGTGGGGGTGGAGAGCTGAGAAGGCCTAGGAAGAGGGCAGGAAAGAGCGCACAATTAGAAACTGAGAGGAGACCACTGGGGCTGGAGCTTGGCGAGAAATCACCATTTAATGAGGTTCAAGGGGAAGGCAAGAACTAGTTCTCACAAACCAAGTGAATTGTTTAAATTTTAAATGAGGTGTAATAGAAAGCAAAAGGTGTTCTAAGTGGGGTGGGTGGTGGTGGTGGTGACATGATCAGATTTGTATTTAAACAACCAAAACCTGGCCAGGTGCGGTGGCTCATGCCTGTAGTCCCAGCTATTTGGGAGGCTGAGGTGGGAGGATGGCTGAGGCCAGGAGTTCGAGACCAGTCTGAGAAACATAATGAGACCTTGCCCTAAAAAACAAAAAACACCAAACAAATAACCAAATAAAATAAAAAAAACAAAACTACTCTGTCATGTGGAGAATAGACTGGAGGAAGTAAGAATGGAAGTTTTTTTTTTTTTTTTTAAAAAAAAGGCCTTAAAGAACAGGAAAGTTTTAGATAAGCAGGGATAAAGGTTTCTAGGTTGAAAAAAATAATACGTATGGCACTGAAATAAAGACCACACTGTATCAAAGGAGAGTTTAATACTGAAGCAGAAAGCAGAAACAAGGAACTACATGACATCTGTGAGCAGCTACATGGTCCAGTAAAGTAGTATTTGAGACAGATTTGGTGGCAGCAGTCAACAGGATGACATGAAGGTAAAGGGGGGAGAGGTATGAAGCAGGGAGATAGCTAGGAAGCTTTTCTAGAAATCTAGATATGAAGTGCAGGTTGACTGAATGAAGTGGGAATAGTAAGGGAGAGAGATGGACATTTCACAGGAAAGAAAAAGCTACAGAGAGCTTACAGAGTCTGGGGAAATACGCCACTCTTCCCGGCCTTCTCTGATGCTCCCCACGAGGCTCATTTCAGTAACAAAGCTCAGAGAAACAATCAATGAAAGATCTTTGAGACTTCCACAGGCAAACATCAATAAGGTACAGATGCAAGGAAACATCTGCTGAAAGGCTGCGGCGCCTTGAGCCCAAACGAGCCAAGAGCATCCTTCCACTGGGTGGCCCTGCAGTAGTGAAGGGAACACACAGGCCACTTCTGCACACTGCAGCAAGGTGTCTCTCTAGTCATGTTTGCCTCTTCAGAGCCAAACAGTAATGTCTACATTAAATTTGGACAGCTTCCAAACTCTCTCTAGGACAAAAACGGCTGGGGATATGAATAAAAGAAAAGATGACATCTGAGACATCTTAACTAATGAAAGAAAAGCAATGACTAAAGTGCCATCTACAAAAACTAGAACTGAACCCAAATATGGGGGAGCTTATATGCCCTCTCCCCATAACCACACTGTGTTTATTACTTCACTTGTCAGGCTCTTCACCTGCAGCTGAAACATTCCTGGCAATAGGTCCAACCACAGCTGGCTCTACAGGCAGAGGGCTTCACAGAAGAGGAGCTGGCCTGGAGTCCCACTCAAAGGCAGAGATGATGGACACAGGAAACAAGTCTGGGAGATTCCCACATCCCTGAGGGGGAAAAACAGAAACCGTGCATCCTGAAGATCAAAGGGCTCTATCACACCTCCTGTGGTCCAGTGGCTTCCACTTGGCGTGGATGATGGGGAGGCGGCATCATGTGGGAGGGTGTCCTGGGAACAGGTAGAGGTGACGGCACAGAGTGCTGCAGTACTCAGACATCTCCTTGCACCGGTGGAACTCTGTGCCAGGGGCGTAGCCTTCCCGATCCTTGATAAGTGCATTCACCTGGAGGGGCAGAACCAATAGGCCGAAGTCTGAGAATCTCGGGCTTCATGAGAGCAGTGTAACGGGAAGGGGAGACGGATTATGAAAGGGCATTCAAGGGCAGAGGAAGGCAGAGCACTGTAGAGACGCACGGGGGTCACAGAGCCCGCAGACTCACCTTAACCAGCATGTCAGCCACATGCATATCACAAGCCCGCTCAGAAAACACCTGAGCGAGGGCCTCGATGTACCAGGAGCCTCGTTTGGTGTTCCGCATGGCAGCGGTCCCTGCAACCAAAAGAGCATTAATCAGAGTGTAAGTGCCCTCACACAGCTGGACTTCCCAAACTAGACTCGGCCATGGCACCTGCACCCTCCCCAGTCAGAGAGCCCAGCATGAAGAATCCAAGTTTAGGAGGGTACACTCTTTTGGATTACTGGCATACTTTGGAGATACTATAGGTTTGTTTACAGACCAGCTCAAGAAAGTGAATATGGCAATAAAGCAAGTCATACAAATTTTCAGGTCTTCCGGTGTGTATGAAAGTTATGCTTACTGTCCTACAGTCTATAAAGTGTGGAACAGCATTATGTCTAAAAAAATGCATATGCTTTAATTAAAACACACTTTATTGCTGAAAAATGCTAACAGAGGCATGCCAACAGAAAAACGGTGCTGACAGACACTCGATGAAGGATTGCCACAAACCTTCAATTTGTAAAAAACGGCTGAGCATCCCAAATCCAAAAATCTGAAATGCTTCAAAATCTGAAACTTTCCAAGTGCCAAAATGATGCTCAAAGGAAGTGCTCACTGGAGCATTTTAAATTTAGAATACTTGGATACGGGACACTCAACTAGTAAGTATAATGCAAAAATTCCAAAATCAAAAAAACCAAAAAATCCAAAATCTGAAACACTTCTGTTCCCAACACTTCAAATAAGGGATGCTCAACCCGTATCTGCAAAGCACCACAAAGCAAAGTACAATAAAATGAGGTATGACTCAACTCTCTTGGAACTCAAAGTACCTTTGAGGCAGGCATAGCCGCATATCATGTCTGAGCGCGTGGGCAGTCTCATCTTCAGCAACGCCTCTTTACCAGCATCACTCTCCTCGCACCCAGGGGATCCTGCATGGCTCTTTCCATCTTGTTGGTCAACCCCACGATCAGTCTCATCTGTAACAAAGGCAGACAGAATAGACAATGATGTTACTTCTTCCCATCTCTCCTGGGCCTGTCACAGGCAAGCCCATGTTCCCTATAACCTTGATGGGTAAGAGCCATTTCCAGCTGTTGCCTCCAACCTATGGTTGATAAACTTAAAAAAAAAAAAAAAAAAAAATCATTACTCTCCCAGCATGCATCTGTTACTCAGGGGATGCCTCGCACAGGCCAGGTACCACGCTCAAGCACATGCACATCTACGTGGCTGGAGCAGTTTCCATTCTGTGTAAGACAGGGAAAATGCCCAATCAAATACTCCTTGTAAATGGAACTGAAAACCATCTAAGTCCACAATTCACTTGTTCAATTAACAATATGCCTGGGAGTCATAGTGCTTTTTATTGCAGTACATAATAAAATATCGATACATTTAATTTTATTATATAAACAAAAAAGGTAATAAATAACAAATACGGTTACTATATATCCTATATAAAAATCACAATCTCAGTGTATCAAAAAAATATGATCAGTTGTTTCCAAGGTGGTTTTGGTATCTTTGAAGCACTCAGTACTTGTTTATTAATTTCATAAGATAAATTAGAGCAAGCATCCAAAATTTAAGAAAAA